CTCTCTCTGGTCACTCTCTCTGGTCTCTCTGGTCTCTCTCTCGAGTCTCTCTCTGGTCTCTCTCTGGTCTCTCTGGTCTCTCTCTGGTCTCTCTCTCGAGTCTCTCTCTGGTCTCTCTCTCTGGACTCTCAGTTCTCTCTCTGGTCTCTCTCTGGTCTCTCTCTGGTATCTCTCTGATCTCTCTCTGGTCTCTCTCATGGTCTCTCTCATGGTCTCTCTCTCTGGTCTCTCTCTGGTCTCTCTCTCGAGTCTCTCTCTGGTCTCTCTCTCTGGTCTCTCTCTGGTCTCTATCTGGTCTCTCTCTGGTCTCTCTCTGGTCTCTCTCGTCTCTCTCTGGTCTCTCTCTGGTCTCTCTCTCTGGTCTCTCTCTGGTCTCTCTCTCTGGTCTCTCTGTCTCTCTGGTCTCTCTCTGGTCTCTCTGGTCTCTCTCTCTGGTCTCTCTCTGGTCTCTCTCTGGTCTCTCTCTGGTCTCTCTCTGGTCTCTCTGGTCTCTCTCTGGTCTCTCTCTCTGGTCTCTCTCTCTGGTCTCTCTCTGGTCTCTCTCTGGTCTCTCTCTGGTCTCTCTCTGGTCTCTCTCTCTGGTCTCTCTCTGGTCTCTCTCTGGTCTCTCTCTCTGGTCTCTCTCTGGTCTCTCTCTGGTCTCTCTCTGGTCTCTCTCTGGTCTCTCTCTCTGGTCTCTCTCTGGTCTCTCTCTCTGGTCTCTCTCTGGTCTCTCTCGAGTCTCTCTCTGGTCTCTCTCTCTGGTCTCTCTGGTCTCTCTCTCGAGTCTCTCTCTGGTCTCTCTCTCGAGTCTCTCTGTAGTCTCTCTCTGGTCTCTCTGGTCTCTCTCTCTGGTCTCTCTGGTCTCTCTCTCTGGTCTCTCTCTCGAGTCTCTCTCTGGTCTCTCTCTCTCTCTGGTCTCTCTCTCTCTCTGGTCTCTCTTTCTCTCTCTGGTCTCTCTCTGGTCTCGTTCTAATCTCTTTCTTTCACAGATTGTCGCTGTAGATCAGACAGAAGCACCGTGTTTATCCTTCAAACACATTTAAGCTTTGAACAAACACAAAAACATGCATTGATTGTAGAACAGTTCTGTCAAACTCAGGCTCGTGGGCCAAATCCGGCCCGCAAGAAAATATATTGTGGCCCCTACATTTTATTTCCATTATCATTACCATCAACTCCAGCATTGATGGTTCTGCACTGCCATGGCATGTTATACATCATCTATTTTCTCAGGGGTACAACCTAATGTAAATTATTCTAACATTTTTACCTAAATTTGTAGAAGAAAGTGTTTTTTATATTTGAAAGTAGTTATGGTTAAATCTAAACAATAAATGGTTTAGATTTAATCTCACATGGTACTTTACCAGTGAGATTTGCTCAACGCGGTGAGTTCTGGCGCCCGGATCACAGACTAAAGAAGTATTGGAAAAGACCATGTTTATTATTATGACAGATTAGGGCCCTTTAATGATGACAGATTAGGGCCCTTTAATGATGACAGATTAGTGCCCTTTAATGATGACAGATTAGTGCCCTTTAATGATGACAGATTAGGGCCCTTTAATTATGACAGATTAGGGCCCTTTAATGATGACAGATTAGTGCCCTTTAATGATGACATATTAGGGCCCTTTAATGATGACAGATTAAGGCCCTTTAATGATGACAGTTTAGGGCCCTTTAATGATGACAGATTAGGGCCCTTTAATGATGACAGATTAGGGCCCTTTAATGACGACACTGATTAGGGCCCTTTAACTGGTTCTCTGCTCTTGGTCCCTCTCTGGTCCCTGCTCTGGTCTCTCTCTGGTCTCTCTCTGGTCTCTCTCTGGGCTCTCTCTGGGTCTCTCTCTCTGCGTCTCTCCTCTTGGGGGTCTCTCTCTTTTCCCTTCTCTGGTCTCTCTCTCTGGTCTCTCTCCTGGGCTCTTGATGACAAGCGAGACCTGATTCTGTTCTTCTCTGGTCTCTCATTATCACATGGTTTACCTTCACATTTTTATGCATGGTCTCGCTCTCTCTTTATGGTCTCTGGTCGGTCTCTCTGGTCTGTCACTGGTCTCGCTTTCTGGTCTCTCTCTGGTCTCTCTCTCTGGTCTCTCTCTCTCTAGTCTCTTTCTGGTCTCTCTCTAGTCTCTCTCTGGTCTCTCTCTGGTCCCTCTCTGGTCCCTCTCTGGTCTCTCTCTCTGGTCTCTCTCTGGTCTCTCTCTGGTCCCTCTCTGGTCCCTCTCTGGTCTCTCTCTCTGGTCTCTCTCTGGTCTCTCTCTGGTCCCTCTCTGGTCTCTCTCTATGGTTTCTCTCTGGTCTCTCTCTGGTCTCTCTCTGGTCTCTCTCTGGTCTCTCTCTGGTCTCTCTCTGGTCCCTCTCTGGTCCCTCTCTGGTCCCTCTCTGGTCCCTCTCTGGTCCCTCTCTCTGGTCTCTCTCTGGTCTCTCTCTCTGGTCTCTCTCTCTGGTCTCTCTCTCTGGTCTCTCTCTGGTCTCTCTCTCTGGTCTCTCTCTCTGGTCTCTCTCTGGTCTCTCTCTCTGGTCTCTCTCTGGTCTCTCTCTGGTCTCTCTCTGGTCTCTCTCTGGTCTCTCTCTGGTCTCTCTCTGGTCTCTCTCTGGTCTCTTTCTGGTCTCTCTCTCTGGTCTCTCTCTCTGGTCTCTCTCTGGTCTCTCTCTCTGGTCTCTCTCTGGTCTCTCTCTCTGGTCTCTCTCTGGTCTCTCTGGCCTCTCTCTCTGGTCTCTCTCTCTGGTCTCTCTCTGGTCTCTCTCTCTGGTCTCTCTCTGGTCTCTCTCTGGTCTCTCTCTGGTCTCTCTCTGGTCTCTCTCTGGTCTCTCTGGCCTCTCTCTCTGGCCTCTCTCTCTGGTCTCTCTTTCTGATCTCTCTTTCTGGTCTCTCTCTGGTCTCTCTCTCTGGTCTCTCTCTGGTCTCTCTCTGGTCTCTCTTTCTGGTCTCTCTCTCTGGTCTCTCTCTCTGGTCTCTCTCTGGTCTCTCTCTCTGGTCTCTCTCTGGTCTCTCTCTGGTCTCTCTCTCTGGTCTCTCTCTGGTCTCTCTCTGGTCTCTCTCTCTGGTCTCTCTCTCTGGTCTCTCTTTGGTCTCTCTCTGGTCTCTCTCTCTTGGTCTCTCTCTCTGGTCTCTCTCTCTGGTCTCTCTCTGGTCTCTCTCTCTGGTCTCTCTCTGGTCTCTCTCTGGTCTCTCTCTCTGGTCTCTCTCTGGTCTCTCTCTGGTCTCTCTCTGGTCTCTCTCTCTGGTCTCTCTCTGGTCTCTCTCTGGTCTCTCTCTGGTCTCTCTCTCTGGTCTCTCTCTGGTCTCTCTCTCTGGTCTCTCTCTGGTCTCTCTCTGGTCTCTCTCTGGTCTCTCTCTCTGGTCTCTCTCTGGTCTCTCTCTCTCTGGTCTCTCTCTCTGGTCTCTCTCTCTGGCTCTCTCTCTGGTCTCTCTCTGGTCTCTCTCTGGTCTCTCTCTGGTCTCTCTCTGGTCTCTCTCTGGTCTCTCTCTGGTCTCTCTCTGGCCTCTCTCTCTGCTCTCTCTCTCTCTGGTCTCTCTCTGGTCTCTCTCTGGCTCTCTTGGTCTCTCTCTCTGGTCTCTCTCTGGTCTCTCTCTGGTCTCTCTCTCTGGTCTCTCTCTGGTCTCTCTCTGGCTCTCTCTGGCTCTCTCTCTGGTCTCTCTCTGGTCTCTCTCTCTGGCCTCTCTCTCTGGTCTCTCTCTGGTCTCTCTCTGGTCTCTCTCTCTGGTCTCTCTCTGGTCTCTCTCTGGTCTCTCTCTGGTCTCTCTCTCTGGTCTCTCTCTGGTCTCTCTCTCTGGTCTCTCTCTGGTCTCTCTCTCTGGTCTCTCTCTGGTCTCTCTCTCTCTGGTCTCTCTCTGGTCTCTCTCTGGTCTCTCTCTGGTCTCTCTCTGGTCTCTCTCTGGTCTCTTTCTGGTCTCTCTCTCTGGTCTCTCGCTCTGGTCTCTCTCTGGTCTCTCTCTCTGGTCTCTCTCTGGTCTCTCTCTCTGGTCTCTCTCTCTGGTCTCTCTCTGGCCTCTCTCTTCTCTGGTCTCTCTCTCTGGTCTCTCTCTGGTCTCTCTCTCTGGTCTCTCTCTGGTCTCTCTCTGGTCTCTCTCTGGTCTCTCTCTCTGGTCTCTCTCTGGTCTCTCTGGCCTCTCTCTCTGGTCTCTCTTTCTGATCTCTCTTTCTGGTCTCTCTCTGGTCTCTCTCTCTGGTCTCTCTCTGGTCTCTCTCTCTGGTCTCTCTCTCTGGTCTCTCTCTCTGGTCTCTCTCTGGTCTCTCTCTCTGGTCTCTCTCTGGTCTCTCTCTGGTCTCTCTCTGGTCTCTCTCTGGTCTCTCTCTCTGGTCTCTCTCTGGTCTCTCTGGCCTCTCTCTCTGGTCTCTCTCTGGTCTCTCTCTGGTCTCTCTCTGGTCTCTCTCTGGTCTCTCTGGCCTCTCTCTCTGGTCTCTCTCTGGTCTCTCTATCTGGTCTCTCTCTCTGGTCTCTCTCTCTGGTCTCTCTCTCTGGTCTCTCTCTCTGGTCTCTCTCTGGTCTCTCTCTGGTCTCTCTGGCCTCTCTCTCTGGTCTCTCTCTGGTCTCTCTGGCCTCTCTTTCTGGTCTCTCTCTGGTCTCTCTCTCTGGTCTCTCTCTCTGGTCTCTCTCTCTGGTCTCTCTCTCTGGTCTCTCTCTGGTCTCTCTCTGGTCTCTCTGGCCTCTCTCTCTGGTCTCTCTCTGGTCTCTCTGGCCTCTCTCTCTGGTCTCTCTCTGGCCTCTCTCTCAGTGATGCTCTGACAGCTTTCCCTAAAACTCAGATATAATTATATATTTATTCTGAACATGGTATTGTTATGTTTTTTGTCCCATAGTAGATACCATCGTAATAACTAAGTAAAAGTGTAGCTGGTGTTGTACTATCAGTGATAAAAGTGGATTCTGTTTATGATCGAATAGAACGATATCTCCAACCCTCCGGACGGTACTTTGTGTTTATGTGACCTGTCATTTAGTTTTTTACGACTTTGGCTAAAACCAGTGATTCTCCCCAAAGTGAAGTGTGTTTGTGATCCAAGGGGTCAGCAGTTTGAGACGCGCACGGATGAGTCCGGTCTGTAGAGTCTGGTCTGTAAAGTGGGGTCTGTAGAGTCTGGTCTGTAAAGTCCGGTCTGTAGAGTCCGGTCTGTAAAGTGGGGTCTGTAGAGTGGGATCTGCAGAGTCCGGTCTGTAGAGTCCGGTCTGTAGAGTCCGGTCTGTAGAGTGGGATCTGCAGAGTCCGGTCTGTAGAGTCCGGTCTGTAGAGTCCGGTCTGTAGAGTCCGGTCTGTAGAGTGGGGTCTGTAGAGTCCGGTCTGTAGAGTGGGGTCTGTAGAGTCCGGTCTGTAGAGTCCGGTCTGTAGAGTCCGGTCTGTAGAGTCCGGTCTGTAGAGTCCGGTCTGTAGAGTCCGGTCTGTAAAGTGGGGTCTGTAGAGTCCGGTCTGTAGAGTGGGGTCTGTAGAGTGGGATCTGCAGAGTCCGGTCTGTAGAGTCCGGTCTGTAGAGTCCGGTCTGTAGAGTCCGGTCTGTAGAGTGGGGTCTGTAGAGTGGGGTCTGTAGAGTGGGGTCTGTAGAGTCCGGTCTGTAGAGTGGGGTCTGTAGAGTCCGGTCTGTAGAGTGGGGTCTGTAGAGTCCGGTCTGTAGAGTGGGGTCTGTAGAGTGGGGTCTGTAGAGTGGGATCTGCAGAGTCCGGTCTGTAGAGTCCGGTCTGTAGAGTCCGGTCTGTAGAGTGGGGTCTGTAGAGTCTGGTCTGTAGAGTCCGGTCTGTAGAGTCCGGTCTGTAGAGTCCGGTCTGTAGAGTGGGGTCTGTAGAGTCCGGTCTGTAGAGTCCGGTCTGTAGAGTCCGGTCTGTAGAGTGGGGTCTGTAGAGTCCGGTCTGTAGAGTCCGGTCTGTAGAGTCCGGTCTGTAGAGTGGGGTCTGTAGAGTCTGGTCTGTAGAGTGGGGTCTGTAGAGTCCGGTCTGTAGAGTGGGGTCTGTAGAGTGGGGTCTGTAGAGTCTGGTCTGTAGAGTCCGGTCTGTAGAGTCCGGTCTGTAGAGTCCGGTCTGTAGAGTCCGGTCTGTAGAGTGGGGTCTGTAGAGTCTGGTCTGTAGAGTCCGGTCTGTAGAGTCCGGTCTGTAGAGTCCGGTCTGTAGAGTGGGGTCTGTAGAGTCTGGTCTGTAGAGTGGGGTCTGTAGAGTCCGGTCTGTAGAGTCCGGTCTGTAGAGTCCGGTCTGTAGAGTCCGGTCTGTAGAGTCCGGTCTGTAGAGTCCGGTCTGTAGAGTGGGGTCTGTAGAGTCCGGTCTGTAGAGTCCGGTCTGTAGAGTCCGGTCTGTAGAGTCCGGTCTGTAGAGTCCGGTCTGTAGAGTGGGTCTGTAGAGTCGGCTGTAGTCTGTAGAGTCCGGTCTGTAGAGTCCGGTCTGTAGAGTCCGGTCTGTAGAGTCCGGTCTGTAGAGTCCGGTCTGTAGAGTCCGGTCTGTAGAGTCCGGTCTGTAGAGTCCGGTCTGTAGAGTCCGGTCTGTAGAGTGGGGTCTGTAGAGTCTGGTCTGTAGAGTCCGGTCTGTAGAGTCTGGTCTGTAGAGTCCGGTCTGTAGAGTCCGGTCTGTAGAGTGGGGTCTGTAGAGTCTGGTCTGTAGAGTGGGGTCTGTAGAGTCCGGTCTGTAGAGTGGGGTCTGTAGAGTGGGGTCTGTAGAGTCTGGTCTGTAGAGTCCGGTCTGTAGAGTCCGGTCTGTAGAGTCCGGTCTGTAGAGTCCGGTCTGTAGAGTGGGGTCTGTAGAGTCCGGTCTGTAGAGTCCGGTCTGTAGAGTCCGGTCTGTAGAGTGGGGTCTGTAGAGTCTGGTCTGTAGAGTGGGGTCTGTAGAGTCTGGTCTGTAGAGTCCGGTCTGTAGAGTCCGGTCTGTAGAGTGGGGTCTGTAGAGTGGGGTCTGTAGAGTCTGGTCTGTAGAGTCCGGTCTGTAGAGTCCGGTCTGTAGAGTCCGGTCTGTAGAGTCCGGTCTGTAGAGTCCGGTCTGTAGAGTGGGGTCTGTAGAGTCTGGTCTGTAGAGTGGGGTCTGTAGAGTCCGGTCTGTAGAGTCCGGTCTGTAGAGTCCGGTCTGTAGAGTCCGGTCTGTAGAGTCCGGTCTGTAGAGTCCGGTCTGTAGAGTGGGGTCTGTAGAGTCCGGTCTGTAGAGTCCGGTCTGTAGAGTCCGGTCTGTAGAGTCCGGTCTGTAGAGTCCGGTCTGTAGAGTCCGGTCTGTAGAGTGGGGTCTGTAGAGTCTGGTCTGTAGAGTGGGGTCTGTAGAGTCCGGTCTGTAGAGTCCGGTCTGTAGAGTCCGGTCTGTAGAGTCTGGTCTGTAGAGTCCGGTCTGTAGAGTGGGGTCTGTAGAGTCCGGTCTGTAGAGTCCGGTCTGTAGAGTCCGGTCTGTAGAGTGGGGTCTGTAGAGTCTGGTCTGTAGAGTGGGGTCTGTAGAGTCCGGTCTGTAGAGTCCGGTCTGTAGAGTCCGGTCTGTAGAGTCTGGTCTGTAGAGTCCGGTCTGTAGAGTCCGGTCTGTAGAGTCCGGTCTGTAGAGTCCGGTCTGTAGAGTCTGGTCTGTAGAGTGGGGTCTGTAGAGTGGGGTCTGTAGAGTCCGGTCTGTAGAGTCCGGTCTGTAGAGTCTGGTCTGTAGAGTCCGGTCTGTAGAGTCTGGTCTGTAGAGTCCGGTCTGTAGAGTCCGGTCTGTAGAGTCCGGTCTGTAGAGTCCGGTCTGTAGAGTCCGGTCTGTAGAGTCCGGTCTGTAGAGTGGGGTCTGTAGAGTCCGGTCTGTAGAGTCCGGTCTGTAGAGTCCGGTCTGTAGAGTGGGGTCTGTAGAGTCCGGTCTGTAGAGTCCGGTCTGTAGAGTGGGGTCTGTAGAGTCCGGTCTGTAGAGTCCGGTCTGTAGAGTCCGGTCTGTAGAGTGGGGTCTGTAGAGTCCGGTCTGTAGAGTCTGGTCTGTAGAGTCCGGTCTGTAGAGTCCGGTCTGTAGAGTCCGGTCTGTAGAGTCCGGTCTGTAGAGTCCGGTCTGTAGAGTCCGGTCTGTAGAGTCCGGTCTGTAGAGTGGGGTCTGTAGAGTCCGGTCTGTAGAGTCCGGTCTGTAGAGTCCGGTCTGTAGAGTCCGGTCTGTAGAGTCCGGTCTGTAGAGTCCGGTCTGTAGAGTCCGGTCTGTAGAGTCCGGTCTGTAGAGTCCGGTCTGTAGAGTCCGGTCTGTAGAGTCCGGTCTGTAGAGTCCGGTCTGTAGAGTCCGGTCTGTAGAGTCCGGTCTGTAGAGTCCGGTCTGTAGAGTGGGGTCTGTAGAGTCCGGTCTGTAGAGTCCGGTCTGTAGAGTCCGGTCTGTAGAGTCCGGTCTGCAGAATCATAATGACCCCACACAGTGATTAAAGTTTTAGACCCCTACAGACCCTGGTCAAGTTAGGAAACGTCCGGAATTGTTTTTAACTTTTTACTGTCAGGAGTTAGCGTTAGTTAGCGTTAGTTAGCGTTAGTCTGATTTCTTTGTTTCCGCTGCAGTTATAACAATCATTTAAATAAAAATGAATCTGGTGAAAAACAAAACATTCTTTGGGATAATTTCTTTTTGGATTGGTTTGAAAGTTAGAGTCTATAGTGTGTCTGAGAGTGACCTGCAGCGCCCCCTGTGGCTCAGTTTTATTAGGTGCAGTTTTGAAATCTCATGAGACATCAGTAATCAGGCGAGATTTGACCATTTTTTGCAGAAATTGGAAATTACTGCCTCAAATTCATTTTCAATTTCAGTGCAGCCGAGTCCAACGGCTTCTAATAAATTGGTACCAATAAAGTCCGAGTGAGTTTTTCCATAATGAATATAAACCCAGAGCGTTGAAAATCTAGACATTGATGAAAATAGATGTAATGAGAGAGTGGAGTCAGTGCACTTCTGTATCCATTCCCTCCGCATCACTCTGAGCTCTGCCCCTTTACACCCCATCACAGTGTGTCATAGTCGCCCTCTCCTCGTGCTCTCTGACCTGGAGCGGTGTGCGGCCCCTCCCCCCTCTGAAACTCCGCCCCGTGTCTTCTGCCATTCCGTGTAATTAGCCGTGAGCGCGTGCCAGCCTCGTTTACATTCAGAGGAGGCGAAAACAAGGACGCCAACCCCGAGCTGCTCACCTGCTCCGTGCCAAGGCTGCGACCATAAATCCTACTGCGTTTTACTGCTGCCTCCCGCTCTCGCAATGAATTTAGATAAGACAGAGGTCGACGGCAGCGCAGGGAGAGACCAGAGAGAGAGACCAGAGAGAGAGAGACCAGAGAGAGGGACCAGAGAGAGAGACCAGAGAGAGACCAGAGAGAGAGGGGCCAGAGAGAGAGAGACCAGAGAGAGGGGGCCAGAGAGAGAGACCAGAGAGAGGGGGCCAGAGAGAGAGACCAGAGAGAGAGACCAGAGAGAGAGAGGCCAGAGAGAGAGAGGCCAGAGAGAGAGAGACCAGAGAGAGAGAGGCCAGAGAGAGGGGGCCAGAGAGAGAGACCAGAGAGAGAGACCAGAGAGAGAGAGACCAGAGAGAGAGAGACCAGAGAGAGAGAGGCCAGAGAGAGAGAGCGACCAGAGAGAGGGACCAGAGAAAGAGACTAGAAAAGGAGAGAGAAGCCTGGTCTGGGGCTGGTCTGGGGCTGGTCTGGGGCTGGTCTGGGGCTGGTCTGGGGCTGGTCTCGGGCTGGTCTGGGGCTGGTCTGGGGCTGGTCTGGGGCTGGTCTGGGGCTGGTCTGGGGCTGGTCTGGGGCTGGTCTGGGGCTGGTCTGGGGCTGGTCTCGGGCTGGTCTGGGGCTGGTCTGGGGCTGGTCTGGGGCTGGTCTCGGGCTGGTCTGGGGCTGGTCTGGGGCTGGTCTGGGGCTGGTCTGGGGCTGGTCTCGGGCTGGTCTGGGGCTGGTCTGGGGCTGGTCTGGGGCTGGTCTGGGGCTGGTCTGGGGCTGGTCTCGGGCTGGTCTCGGGCTGGTCTGGGGCTGGTCTGGGGCTGGTCTGGGGCTGGTCTGGGGCTGGTCTGGGGCTGGTCTGGGGCTGGTCTGGGGCTGGTCTGGGGCTGGTCTGGGGCTGGTCTGGGGCTGGTCTCGGGCTGGTCTGGGGCTGGTCTGGGGCTGGTCTGGGGCTGGTCTCGGGCTGGTCTCGGGCTGGTCTGGGGCTGGTCTGGGGCTGGTCTCGGGCTGGTCTCGGGCTGGTCTCGGGCTGGTCTAGGCCTGGTCTGGGGCTGAGCGATGATGGGTGTTTGAGGGCTTCTGGCTCCGCCTCCTTCATAACCTTCTGTCTGCTCTGATGAAGCCAAACTCAGGACAGCTGCAGCTGCTCAAGTCTGGAGCACTTTGGATTCACAAAACTCCCACATGTTAAAGACAGACGGGAGAGAGAGACGGGAGAGAGAGACGGGAGGGAGAGACGGGAGGGAGAGACGGGAGAGAGAGACGGGAGGGAGAGACGGGAGAGAGAGACGGGAGGGAGAGACGGGAGAGAGAGACGGGAGAGAGAGACGGGAGAGAGAGAGACGGGAGAGAGAGACGGGAGGGAGAGACGGGAGAGAGAGACGGGAGAGAGAGAGACAGGAGAGAGAGACAAGAGAGAGAGACGGGAGAGAGAGACGGGAGAGAGAGACGGGAGAGAGAGACGGGAGAGAGAGACGGGAGGGAGAGACGGGAGAGAGAGACGGGAGAGAGAGAGACGGGAGAGAGAGAGACGGGAGAGAGAGAGACGGGGAGAGAGAGACGGTAGAGAGAGACGGGAGAGAGAGACGGTAGAGAGAGACGGGAGAGAGAGACGGGAGAGAGAGAGACGGGAAAGAGAGAGACGGGAGAGAGAGACGGGAGAGAGAGAGAGGAGAGAGAGAGAGAGGGAGAGAGAGACGGGGAGAGAGAGACGGGAGAGAGAGAGACGGGAGAGAGAGACGGGAGAGAGAGACCGGAGAGAGAGACGGGACAGAGAGAGAGGGAGAGAAGGAGAGAGAAATGGGAGAGAGACGGGAGAGAGAGAGAAATGGGAAGGAGAGAGACGGGAGAGAGAGATGGGAGAGAGAGATGGGAGAGAGAGACGGGAGAGAAATGGGAGTGAGACGGGAGAGAGAGACGGAAGAGAGAGACGGGAGAGAGAGACGGGAGAGAGAGACGGGAGAGAGAGACGGGACAAGAGAGAAGACGGGAGAGAGAGACGGGAGAGAGAGACGGGAGAGAGAGATGGGGGAGAGAGACCGGAGAGAAATGGGAGGGAGACGAGAGAGAGAGACGGGAGAGAGAGACAGGAGAGAGAGACGGGAGACGAGAGAGAGAGATGAGAGAGAGAGACGGGAGTGAGAGATGGGAGAGAGAGATGGGAGAGAGAGATGGGAGAGAGAGACGGGAGAGAAATGGGAGTGAGACGGGAGAGAGAGACGGGAGAGAGAGACGGGAGAGAGAGACGGGAGAGAGAGACGGGAGAGAGAGACGGGAGAGAGAGACGGGAGGAGAGACGGGACAAGAGAGAGACGGGAGAGAGAGACGGGAAAGAGAGACGGGAGAGAGAGATGGGGGAGAGAGAGACCGGAGAGAAATGGGAGGGAGACGAGAGAGAGAGACGGGAGAGAGAGACAGGAGAGAGAGACGGGAGACGAGAGAGAGAGACGAGAGAGAGAGACGGGAGTGAGAGATGGGAGAGAGAGATGGGAGAGAGAGATGGGGGAGAGAGAGACGGGAGAGAAATGGGAGGGAGACGAGAGAGAGAGACGGGAGAGAGAGACAGGAGAGAGAGACAGGAGAGAGAGACAGGAGAAAGAGACGGGAGACGAGAGAGAGAGACGAGAGAGAGAGACGGGAGTGAGAGACGGGAGAAAGAGATGGGAGAGAGAGACGGAGGAGAGAGAGATGGGAGAGAGAGACGGGAGAGAGAGACAGGAGAGAGAGACAGGAGAGCGAGACGGGAGACGAGAGAGAGAGACGGGAGTGAGAGACGGGAGAGAGAGACAGGAGAGAGAGACAGGAGAGAGAGACAGGAGAGAGAGACAGGAGAGAGAGACAGGAGAGAGAGACGGGAGAGAGAGACGGGAGAGAGAGACAGGAGAAAGAGACGGGAGACGAGAGAGAGAGACGAGAGAGAGAGACGGAGAGAGAGACGGGAGAAAGAGACGGGAGAGAGAGAGACGAGAGAGAGAGAGACGAGAGAGAGAGAGAGACGAGAGAGAGAGAGAGACGAGAGAGAGAGAGAGACGAGAGAGAGAGACGGAGAGAGAGACGGGAGAAAGAGACGGGAGAGAGAGACCATAGTTTATTTGAGCTGACAATTGAAAATTGAAAGTTGTACTTTACCAAGTGCATTTTTCTCTGCATCAGTAATGAACCATGATTAGTCCTGCTTTAGTCCTGCTTTAGTCCTGCTTTAGACCTGCTTTAGACCTGCTTTAGACCTGCTTTAGACCTGCTTTAGACCTGCTTTAGTCCTACTTTAGACCTGCGTTTGGACAAGTGTGAGATGTATCTTTCCCCAAACAACGCGATCCGTACTGAGCTGTTAGCAACTGTAGCTGTAGCTGTTAGCTGTTAGCTGTTAGCTGTTAGCTGTTAGTTGCTAGCTACAGTAGCTGTAGCTGTTAGCTGTTAGCTGTTAGTTGCTAGCTACAGTAGCTGTAGCTGTTAGTTGCTAGCTACAGTAGCTGTAGCTGTTAGCTGTTAGCTACAGTAGCAGAATGTAAACAGGAAAGAAGTGGATCTCAACCAGGGCAACGAGGTAGTCTCTGGTGTTAGTATTAGCGCCACCAGCTGGACCAAGTGTTGTACTACAGCACAATTTCCCTGGCACGGTTCAGACAATACGTTCATGTGACCGCGGGCCGTTTTCACACCCTGTGGCGACGACCCGGGCCACTTGGCCTAGTTCGTTTGTAAAAACCTATGTGACCGTGCCCTTAGTCCTGCTTTAGTCCTGCTTTAGTCCTGCTTTATACCTGCTTTAGACCTGCTTAGACCTGCTTTAGTCCTGCTTTATACCTGCTTTAGACCTGCTTTAGACCTGCTTTAGTCCTGTTTTAGTCCTGCTTCAGACCCGTTTTTAACCTGCTTTAGACAGACTGGTCTTCTTACTTTTACTGCCATTAGATTATTTCATTTCTACTTTAAAGTGGATCTTCACAGAAACCATTCTTCTCCAAAATATCAATCATTTCCAAATACGTGTCTTTTCTTTCTCTCATCGACTCAATCTCGTCAAATCTCCACTCGGCCCCTATCGCCTCCTCCCCAGTGCTCCCTGTCCTGCTTGAGTCCGGTTCAGCCCCTCTCGGCCTGGTTTTCCAGCCTCAGCCTCACACTCTCTTCACCTCAGCGCTCTGGGATCTGCTGCTCGCACAAAAAGAGAAAAATCGATGGAGAGCAATGATTCAGGCCCCGCTGCAAAGTGAAGGAGAGCGGAGGCTGAGCCCGGTCCACAGAGACCCGGTCCACAGAGACCCGGTCCACAGAGACCCGGTCCACAGAGACCCGGTCCACAGAGACCCGGTCCACAGAGACCCGGTCCACAGAGACCCGGTCCACAGAGACCCGGTCCACAACGACCCGGTCCACAACGACCCGGTCCACAAAGACCAGGCTCATAAAGACCAGACTATGGAGGCCGAGAGGAGGCCACGTCTCTGGGGTAAAAGCAGTCTGAGGCCGGGGCGGCAGTGGAGGAGGAGGGGCCAGCACACATCCTGCTTTAGACCTGCTTTAGACCTGTGCTAGACCTGCTTTAGACCTGTGCTAGACCTGCTTTAGACCTGTGCTAGACCTGCTTCAGACCTGCTTCAGACCTGCTTCAGACCTGCTTCAGACCTGCTTTAGACCTGCTTCAGACAGGCTTTAGACCTGTTTCAGACCTGCTTCAGACCTGCTTCAGACAGGCTTCAGACAGGCTTTAGACCTGTTTCAGACCTGCTTCAGACCTGCTTCAGACCTGCTTCAGACCTGCTTCAGACCTGCTTCAGACAGGCTTTAGACTTGCTTCAGACCTGTTTCAGACCTGCTTCAGACAGGCTTCAGACAGGCTTTAGACCTGTTTCAGACCTGCTTCAGACCTGCTTCAGACCTGCTTCAGACCTGCTTCAGACCTGCTTCAGACCTGCTTCAGACAGGCTTTAGACTTGCTTCAGACCTGTTTCAGACCTGCTTCAGACAGGCTTCAGACAGGCTTTAGACCTGTTTCAGACCTGCTTCAGACCTGCTTCAGACCTGCTTCAGACCTGCTTCAGACAGGCTTTAGACCTGTTTCAGACCTGCTTCAGACCTGCTTCAGACAGGCTTTAGACCTGTTTCAGACCTGCTTCAGACCTGCTTCAGACAGGCTTCAGACAGGCTTTAGACCTGTTTCAGACCTGCTTCAGACCTGCTTCAGACCTGCTTCAGACAGGCTTCAGACAGGCTTTAGACCTGTTTCAGACCTGCCTCAGACCTGCTTCAGACAGGCTTCAGACAGGCTTTAGACTTGCTTCAGACCTGTTTCAGACCTGCTTCAGACAGGCTTCAGACAGGCTTTAGACCTGTTTCAGACCTGCTTCAGACCTGCTTTAGACCTGCTTCAGACAGGCTTTAGACCTGTTTCAGACCTGCTTCAGACCTGCTTCAGACAGGCTTCAGACAGGCTTTAGACCTGTTTCAGACCTGCTTCAGACCTGCTTCAGACCTGCTTCAGACCTGCTTCAGACCTGCTTCAGACAGGCTTTAGACTTGCTTCAGACCTGTTTCAGACCTGCTTCAGACAGGCTTCAGACAGGCTTTAGACCTGTTTCAGACCTGCTTCAGACCTGCTTCAGACCTGCTTCAGACCTGCTTCAGACCTGCTTCAGACCTGCTTCAGACAGGCTTCAGACAGGCTTTAGACCTGTTTCAGACCTGCCTCAGACCTGCCCCAGACCTGCTTCAGACAGGCTTCAGACAGGCTTTAGACTTGCTTCAGACCTGCTTCAGACCTGCTTTAGACCTGCTTTCATCTGTATGTGAAATCCGAATCCTGTCAAACCTATGTAGCTAAGCAGGGCAAAGCCTGGTTAGTGCTGTGATGGGAGACCTGTGGGAACAGCAGGGGCCACAGTGGGGTGGCTGTGGCTGTAAAGTGCCAAACTGTGGCTGTTTCCTTAGGCAAGACACTTCCCCCACATTAGAATGAGTCTGGTGTGTGTGTGTGAATGGTTGGTGGTGGAGGGAGGGGCCGATGGCACAGACTGGTTGCCTCGCTTCTGTCAGTGTGCCCCAGGGCAGCTGTGGCTACACCATATGTATAAAATCAATGCATTCTAAACTGTTGTAGAGCAAAGAGCTAGCGATGTGGATAATAGTACTTAACCCATATTTCTATCGTTGTGGCTTGAAAGTTACGTACCCCGGCTTTAGCGTGTTTCATACTCGGCCTGTGTTGCCAGATCTTCCCGTCTTTTGCTAATACATTATCCTCACACCTTTTATCCGCTGCGTTTTCCTCCTGTTTGTCTCCGGGAACATCCAGTGCTGTTCCGGTTATTTTTAGCGCGTCTCTGCAGAGCGCTCGGCTGCGTGGCTTTCCTCTGGTCTTTAATGTCTGCTTCACCTGCGAGGAGCCTCCTCTGTGGCGGCGGCGGCGGCGGGAGAGTGGGCGATCCAGTCACAGACGTTTAAGAAGCTGAAGGCTAAAGGAGAGTTTACAGTAGGAGTGGGGGGGAATGTTGTGTTCAGTATCGCGATATTTTGGGCTCCACAAATCGATACTGTAGAGAAAAGTATCGCAATGTTGAATAAAAAATCAGTTTCAGTTTATGTACAGACCATAATAAATATCACATTTGAGTTGAGATATTTTCCTCCATGTTTGTCAAGTCTTGTATGTAACCTGAGGGACATGAATTGCTAAATATCACAGAATCAAATCGCAAAACTGTCTGTATCGTGATATTATGAATCGCAATAATGTTGAATTACTGATATGAGGCTGTAGACCCAGGACTGAGGCTGTGGAGGAGCAGCACAATGAGAGACCAGGTCTCTCTCTGGTCTCTTTCTGGTCTCTCTCTGGTCTCTTTCTGGTCTCTCTCTGGTCTCTCTCTGGTCTCCCTCTGGTCTCTGTCTGGTCTCACTCTGGTCTTTCTCTGGTGAGGCTGTAGACTCGGGACTGAGGCGGTAGATCCAGGACTGAGACTGTAGATCCAGGACTGAGACTGTAGATCCAGGACTGAGACTGTAGATCCAGGAAGATCCAGGACTGAGACGGTAGACCCAGGACTGAGGCTGTAGACCCAGGACTGAGGCTGTAGATCCAGGGCTGAGGCTGTAGACCCAGGACTGAGGCTGTAGATCCAGGACTGAGACGGTAGACCCAGGACTGAGGCTGTAGACCCAGGACTGAGGCTGTAGACCCAGGACTGAGGCTGTAGACCCAGGACTGAGGCTGTAGACCCAGGACTGAGGCTGTAGACCCAGGACTGAGGCTGTAGATCCAGGACTGAGGCTGTAGATCCAGGACTGAGGCTGTAGATCCAGGACTGAGGCTGTAGATCCAGGACTGAGACTGTAGATCCAGGAAGATCCAGGACTGAGACGGTAGACCCAGGACTGAGGCTGTAGACCCAGGACTGAGGCTGTAGACCCAGGACTGAGGCTGTAGACCCAGGACTGAGGCTGTAGATCCAGGACTGAGGCTGTAGACCCAGGACTGAGGCTGTAGACCCAGGACTGAGGCTGTAGACCAGGACTGAGGCTGTAGACCCAGGACTGAGGCTGTAGACCCAGGACTGAGGCTGTAGATCCAGGACTGAGGCTGTAGACCCAGGACTGAGGCTGTAGACCCAGGACTGAGGCTGTAGACCCAGGACTGAGGCTGTAGACCCAGGACTGAGGCTGTAGACCCAGGACTGAGGCTGTAGACCCAGGACTGAGGCTGGTTTCACTCAGACATAAATCACTTCCATTATTAGTCCGGAGCCGCAGTGTGACGCCTTCACAAAGAAACACAATCCCCTCACATTACCATGGCCCGCTCTGGACCGCTCTGGCTCACTCAGGCCACTTACGGAGCACTTTGGTCCATTGTGCTGCTCTTCCACCTATGGAGACTAAAGCGACTCACAAATACCGGTTATTACTCCTCTCGACTTGGCACAATTTAAAACGTCCAGGATTAAAACGCAGATAACATTTTAGTTCATGTTTGAGACGTTGTTCCCTTCATTCATCCATGGGTTAGAGTTAGAGTTAGAGTTAGAGTTAGAGTTAGAGTTAGAGTTAGAGTTAGAGTGGGTGTTTGATATGGAAGGGGAACCATGTGACCATTTGATAGTATTGTGATATTCGGGATACAATTTGGTCTCTCTCTGGTCTCTCTGTGGTCTCTCTCTGGTCTCTCTGTGGTCTCTCTGTGGTCTCTCTCTGGTCTCTCTGTGGTCTCTCTGTGGTCTCTCTCTGGTCTTTCTCTGGTCTCTCTCTGGTCAACAAGCAGACATCATAAAGTCCCAACCTGATCTAGCCTGATGGTCTTACCATGTGTAAACTCTGGTCCATGATCATTTCCTACATGTACGTCTGGTCTTACCATGTGTGAACTCTGGTCCATGATCATCTCCAACATGTACGTCTGGTCTTACCATGTGTAAACTCTGGTCCATGATCATCTCCTACATGTACGTCTGGTCTTACCATGTGTGAACTCTGGTCCATGATCATCTCCAACATGTACGTCTGGTCTTACCATGTGTAAACTCTGGTCCATGATCATCTCCTACATGTACGTCTGGTCTTACCATGTGTAAACTCTGGTCCATGGTCATTTCCTACATGTACGTCTGGTCTTACCATGTGTAAACTCTGGTCCATGATCATTTCCTACATGTACGTCTGGGTCTGATCCTAGTGGCTGCAGTTTCCTCGGTTGAATCCCCTCCGACCAATCAGAGAGCGGGGGAGGCGGGTGTTGCTGGTTGTAGTTTGTCGGAGAATGCGATAGTAAAATAATCTGTTCTGGTTCAATCCAAATATCAAGAAACTGAAGTCGGAGCAAGAGGAATGTTTAGAAAATGTCACTGAAGCAAATATGTTGTGGCTCTGCTCCCCACGGGCTCCGTTAGCGGCAAAGGAGATAACTAAAGCTAGGCTACATGCTAAAGCTAGGCTAAATGCTAAATGCTAAATGCCTCACTCACTCGGGCTCATTACATACGTCTCAATCTGCAAAAGTAGTTAGCCCCTCCCACCTGTTAACGGAGTCAATGAAGCAGATCCAGACCTTAGTACAAATGAAATGAGTACCATGGTGTGGTAAGACCAGGCTAACATCAGCTCTAAAGTGCTCTGTATTTTAAGTGAGGCCTTGTACAGAGTTTTCCAGACCCAAAAGGGTCTGGAAAAGCTTTCTTTGCTCCTGTTAGCAGAATGGACAGGAGATGTTTCTGCATGGGAGGTTACCAAGCCCCGATCCAAGATGGCGTCCTGTTCAAATCATGGGGCCGAGAGATTAGCGCAACTCGCCCATATTTGGTCATTTCTCTAGTCCTCCCAGTTCTGTGCAGTGGACGAGCTCCCATGATGCTTTGCGGCAAATACGCGTGTGTGTCTGTCATGCACGTGCACAGAGGGGTTCAGCCACGTTCCGACCAATCAGAGGGCAGCGTTTTGATCAATCAGAGCTGCTGATCAGAGTGGAGTTAGAGCAGGAAGGAAAGGAGCAGAGTTTGTGGCAGTAAAGTGTGGATTTAAAGAAAACCGAAGGATTTAAGAAGAAAAAAGTTCACTAAAGGGACACTCAAATCTCCTCAGAATCCGACCTTTGTGAAAGCTGTAAGTTCTCTGTCAGGTTCTCTGTCAGGTTCTCTGTCAGGTTCTCTGTCAGGTTCTCTGTCAGGTTCTCTGTCAGGTTCTCTGTCAGGTTCTCTGTCAGGTTCTCTGTCAGGTTCTGTCTCAGCTGAGGTCGAGCTGTTTTAGTTTACATTGAGTTCTATGGGGAACATTTCTGGGTAGCCCACGTGAATTTAGACTGGTTTAGTCTGGTTTAGTCTGGTTTAGTGTGCAGTACCATGAGAATCCCCCGAGCACATGGTCCTTCAGCTCCAAGCTAGTAATACTCTATCCAGTTGTTATAATAGATCCATGGAGGGCACTCAAACAGACTTCCTTAAAACCCAAAGTCACATCAAGGCCGAATATTCTGTCCACGGCTTTTATCACCTCTGACCAGTAGGGTGCGATGTTTGCGGTTCCAGAAGTGGTGGAAATGACCTGCTTTTGTGAGACCAGAGAGGGACCAGGGAGAGACAAGAGAGAGGGACCAGAGAGGGACCAGAGAGGTACCAGAGAGGTACCAGAGAGGGACCAGAGAGGGACCAGAGAGGGACCAGAGAGGGACCAGAGAGGGACCAGAGAGGGACCAGAGAGGGACCAGAGAGGGGGACCAGAGAGGGACCAGAGAGGGACCAGAGAGGGACCAGAGAGGGACCAGAGAGGGACCAGAGAGGGACCAGAGAGGGACCAGAGAGGGACCAGAGAGGGACCAGAGAGGGACCAGAGAGGGACCAGAGAGGGGGACCAGAGAGGGGGACCAGAGAGGGAGACCAGAGAGGGGGACCAGAGAGACACCAGAGAGAGACTAGAGAGAGGGACGAGAGAGGGACGAGAGAGAGACAAGAGTGAGAAAGATGCTGGAGAGAGAGAGAGACCAGAGAGCTGGGGGCCAAAGAGAGAGACCACATTGTCTCTGTATATTCCCCGACTGCGCACACGTCGCCACACGTTGGCTGTTTGTGGAATAGTCTTGTCTCTTGTTCGTTAGCTTCAGAGAGCTCATCCCTGATTGGCCGGTTCCTCTGGACGAGGGGCTGAAAATGGCGCCCCGTCTGGGAATCCCCCGCGTCTCTCTGCTCATGTTTTTTGATGAGCGCTGGAGAAAGAGGCGAGCTGATGAGGTCTGTGGGGAGGAGCGTGCACGGGGAGAGTGCACGAGGAGAGTGCACGAGGATGGAGAGGAGCCAAGGTCGATTACAGGAATAAAAACCCAATCTGGATCCAATCACTTTCCTCAAGACTCAGCTCGAGTCCAAAGAAACCACTTTTGGAGGATTCTAAATACTCCTTTAATGTTGAAACTTTTTACATTGGATCCTCAGACTGTGATGT